AGTTGGAAGGGACCTTGGAGGTCTTTTAGTCCAACCCCCTGCTCAAATTATAAGGATTGTTCTGAACCTCTGATAATGGAGGAGGAAGTTCTTCTCATAGTGCCTCAAGCCAGTTGACCCCTATGAAATATGTCACAAAACCATCTTCCACAGCAATGTCTCAAATCAATAAGGGTCTTGATACATAATGCTGTTTCTCTAAATGCAATAACAGTGCCATCCAAACGGTGAGAGAATAACAGAATAGCAGAGTTGGAAGGGACCTTGGAGGTCTTCTAGTCCAACCTCTTTCTCAAGCTGGAGACTTTACACCATTCTGGACAAATGGCTGTCCAATCTCTTCTTGTAAACCTCTCGTGATGGAGTACCCAGAACCTCTGGTGGCAAATTATTCCACTGGTTAATTGTTCTAACTGTCATGAAATTTCTCCTTAGTTCTAGGTTGCTTCTTTCCTTGATTAGTTTCCATCCATTGTTTCTTGTCCCACTTTCAGGTGCTTTGGAAAATAAGTTGACCTCCTATTCTTTGTGGTGGCTTTAATGAGTCCCTAGCAAACATCCCTGAGGTTTCATCAAGGAATGTAAGAAAAACAAAACTATGTTCATGATAAATAGCTGGGCTTTGTGAATGAAAATCACTTGAATAGGATGCTCCTCTTCTCTTGTCTTAAGTTAAACAATACTGAACATTTGTCCCTTTATGTCAAATTTCACTGACGTAGAAAGGGGGGGGGAGTGAACTAAACTGAACTGAAATGAAGAGAAAGTTTTTGTCTCACTTCCCCATCTGAACGAATCACTGTGGAGCTGACTACCCGTCCAGACACAACAGTAATAGGTGGCTTCGTCTTCAATCTGAGCCTCAGTGATAGTCAAGGACATCAGATTCCCTGATCTGGACCCAGAGAAACATTCTGGAACCCCCGATGGTCTGGTACTAGTGGTATAGATCAGCATTCGAGGTGGATGCCCAGGTACCTGCTGGGACCACCAAGGGTAGTTGCCATCCCCAAGATTTCCACCATCATATCGACAAGATAGGGTGACTGTTCTTCCAACTGCAACAAATTCTGGGTCCTTCAGGGTCTGCAGTTGTTGAAGACTGGGACCTGAAAGAAAGCAAGGGAGTGCTTGTTCAATGGAGGGTCAAGAGGATTAGAAGACCATGTATGACCAACTCAGCTATCTGGCAAGGAGGCTCTTCTGAGTTTAGTTGTAGAAAGGGTTGTGCCTCCTTCCAATGGGATTTCTCTTACCAACAGAGATCAGGACTATGGAGAGAAGAAAGAGCTGGGTCATGGTGGAAGAAGTCAAGGGGCCAATTCCTTCACTAAAGCAAATGGATTTCCCCCTCGACTCCTCTCCACCTCTCTTAAATTCCCAAAGGACAGGAGAGGACCTCCTCATGCAAATATTTGCCTCTTCAACTACCAACCCAGCCCTCTGGGGGTCTGCTCAGAGAGGCAATGAGCAATTGCTAAGATTGTCTTGTCTAAAAAACTAATAGGAAAGGAAGAGATGAGAATTAGCTTTTTAATAGACTGAAGGCTGTGTGGGGTTCATTCCATGAATCCATTTTGATCTGCTTGAGTTTACAAAGTCATATTACCAACATTTGTTTATGGGATGGATTGGAGGAATGTATCTCACACTCATTGACTAATTCACATGGTTCAAGGAGAGGAAGTCTCCCTTGAAGACCACCAGTCTAGGGGAAAAGAGGAGGGTCATGCTCCACCTGAACATATGGGCTAGGGCAGGTCATCAATAATCCTCATATTGATTTTTCTTAATTTTGGGAACATACCACTGGAGGCAGAATTGTTGGATTTAACCATTTCCTTTTATCCTGAATTATTCACCTACAATGTGAATGGTCAGGGTCCTCCTCCTTCCCTTACACTCAAGGAAGAGATGAGACATTTCAGGAGCCACATCTGGACATGCTTTTGCTTATGTCATTTTTTTTTTTTTTGCACAAACATGAAAGGGCAGCCGCAGCCCCTACTGGCCACTGATTCTGCAACATCTGTGTTATTTCAAAACTGGGCTGAAGAAATGGAGCATTTGTCATCCTTTGAAGACCATCATCGTCCTCCTCCTTAAATATCAGAGGAAGTACAAGAAAAAAAAGAAAGAAAGGAAGGAAGGAAGGAAGGAAGGAAGGAAGGAAGGAAGGGAAGGAAGGAAGGAAGGAAGGAAGGAAGGAAGGAAAGAAAGAAAGAAAGAAAGAAAGAAAGAAAGAAAGAAAGAAAGAAAGAAAGAAAGAAAGAAAGAAAGAAAGAAAGTGAGTGTTGGAAGAAAACAAGAATGGAACAAAACGTCTTTCCTTTATTAACTCTTTTACAGAAGATCTTCCAACGTCTCCCTTAATGTTTTTAGAACTTTGATTCCAGGTAGAGGTTATCTATAAGTCTGGGGCAACATCCTTGCCCGTGCTTGTCATTCTTGACTTTAGTGGTGTGCTTGAGATGCAGGTAAAGGAGGTACCTGCTCATCAAGAGATTTTCATGTTTTCCTTGGCTGATTCATTTCTCCTGGTAAGAACATTTATCTCATGGTCTGTTCAGTTCAACATCTAATCTTTCAGAACCTCATGTGAGTGTGTGCCAACCATTACAAAGTGTTCATTGTTACATCCTCTAACCTTGACCCAAACATGCCCCAGGGGTCACTTTTTAGCTTGAGTCTTCATCAAATCCCTTTTATCCCACCTCCAGTCTAGTGTTGAGGCACCTGCACAGCATCTGTGGCTTCTCCAATTTTACATCTTTTCCTTTGATGGTTTTTACTCAAACTATGGGAAACGGAGGCTCTGAGTCCCTGGACTTCTCCTGTGCCTTTCTCTTCCCTCTAGCTGTATTTATCATCCCCCTTCATAGGGACAGAGACACTTTTTGCAGATGGAAATGAACCTGCAGGAGTTTCTCTCCTGTTTCTTCAGCTCAAGGTTCCCCAGTCACCGGTCAACGTACGTTGCTTCTTGTTTCAGCTGAAGAGGAAGAGTGAAGGTTTTTGTTGCACTTCCCCATAAGAATTCACCACTGTAGAACACGTTGCTTTTCCAGCTCCCACAGTAATAATCTGCCGCGTCTTCAGCCTCCGCATTGGTGATGGCCAAAAATCCTGTAGTCCCAGATCTGGTGGCAGTGAAGCGATCTGGGATCCCTTCTCCCCTGTTGCTGCAGGCATCACAGTGGACAAAACGAGGCCCTTTTCCTGATTTCTGTTGAAACCACCGAATGGCATCCGTACTCTGAGTTAAGCAGGAGAGTGTAACGGTTCCATCTAAGGGCCCGGAGCTGGAGGGAGGCTGAGTCCAAGTGGACTGAGCATTGATGCCTTTAAAGAAGGAGGGGAGAGAAAGAAAGAAACACTGAGAAACTGACGCACCATCCTTTGCTCTTAGACTTTTCCAAGGGACCAGGTTTTTATGAGAATCACAATCAAATCCTCTCTCGGCCCAGGAAAGCTTTACCTGTGCAGTAAGTGAGGACTGCAAGGAAGACCACCGCCCAACCCATGGTCAACTTGGCACGGAATATCCTTCTAAGGAAGAACATTATAACCCTCTTCTTCTTCTTTCCTTTCCTTAAATGCCTCTGCTTGGCCACTTCATGCAAATGAGATCTGCACTCATTGGTTCCGGTGGAATATTTTATTCCCCCAAAGCATTCTGGGGTCTTCTAATTTAGCCAATGACAAAGGACAGATTTGCATGGAGATATGAAAATGGGGGAGACTTAAAAGCTCCCAATTAAACCTGACCACATTATTGTAAATCAGGGGACCTTCAATGTGTCTTCAGACACCCCACGTTTTACATGAATGGGACGTGGCAATGCTTATGTGTAAATGTAATTATCAAATTCTATTTATCTGCATAGCATGTAAGGACTAATATGCAATTACTACAGAATCAGCTCTTATTTCCAAAGAGCAGGAAATAAAAACCCAGAAGCCATATGTATGGAGAACCATCCTCCGATTGGACCGATGTGCTAAAACAAGCAATTTTCATATTCTTTTTTAAAAGTTTTGAAAAGCTGCTGGGAGCAGAGCTGCTGGACCTAAACCTCTTCCTTCTATCCCTCCTTATTTGGCACTGCTGCGTGAAGGCTCAATGCTGTCCTTCCTCCCTTACTCTAGATGAAGAGATTAAACTTTTCAGGAGCCACATCTGCCCATCTTTTGGCTGAAGTCATTTTTTGGAGAACCATCCAAGGGCAACAGCAGCCCCTACCGGCCACAAATGTTGCAGCATCCACATTATCCTCATCTTGGCTGAAGGAATGCAGTTTTGGCCTCCTTTGAGGACCATCATCCTCCTTCTCCTCAACTATCAGAGAACAGACAGGAAAAACAAGAAGGAAATAAAAGGTAACAAGAATGGAACATTTTAATGCTTTGATTTCAAAAAACACATTTCAGGTCGACACTATATCTAAGTTTTGTCATGCTTCCCTGTGCTTACCCGTCTTCACTTTAGTGGTAGGCTTGAGGTTGAGGTGAAGGATATACAGTATCTCTCATCAGAAGAGTTTCATATTTTTAGTGGCTGGTTCATTTCTCCTAGGAAGCAGAGCTTCAGCACATGGTCTCCTTGGTTCAACCTCTAATGTAGGGAGAACAACGCATGACTGCTGCAATCTTTATAAGAGTTCGTCCATGCTTCCACAACTCATTGGTGCAAAGCTGTCCCAGGAACCACTTTTTAATGCTCTGTCCTCATACAATCTCTTTTCTCCCGTATCCAATCTTGTGATGAAGCACTTGTAAATCCTCTCTATCTTCTCCAATTTTACTTTTTCTCCACTCATAATAATTTGTACTTATACCGCAGAAGGCTGAGACCGTGGATCTGTGGGCTTCCCCTCAACCCTTCTCATCCACACTTCTTCGCCCATCATCCCTCATGCTGGACGCTGAGAGACTTCTCTGCAGATGCAGATGAACCTACAGACGTTTCTCTCCTGTCTCTTCAGCTCAAGCTTCCCCAGTCATAAGTCAAGGTACGTTGCTTCTTGTTTCACCTGAAGAGGAAGAGTGAAGGTTTTTGCCACAGTTCCCCATAAGAGTTCACCACCGTGCAACTGAGTAGCTGCACTGTTCAAGCTCCCACAATAATAATCTGCCTCGTCTTCAGGCTGCACATTGGTGATGGCCAAAGATCCTGTAGTCCCAGATTTGGTGACAGTGAACCGATCTGGGATCCCTTCTCCCCTGCTGTATCCGCTACATTGGACATAGCGAGGAGCTTCTCCAGGCTTCTGTTGATACCAGCCAATGCAGTAGGAACTCTGAGTTGTTGTGCAGGAGATTGTAATGGTTCCACCCAGGGAAACGGAGCTGGAGGGAGGCTGAGTCCAAGTGGACTGACCATTGATGCCTTTAAAGGGAGAGAGAGAGAGAGAGAGAGAGAGAGAGAGAGAGAGAGAGAGAGAGAGAGGGAGGGAGAGAGAGAGAGAGAGAGAGAGAGAGAGAGAAGAAGGAGGAAGAAATACTGTTAACCTGATGCATCTTCCTTTGCTCTGAGCTATTTAGAAGGGAGCAAATTTTTTTGAGAATCACAACCAAATTGTCTCTTGGGCCAGGAAAGCTTTACCTGTGCAGTAAGTGAGGAGCACAAGGAAGACCACCGCCCAACCCATGGTCAAAATTGGCCAGGAATGTCCTTCTAGAGAAGAAAACTATAACCTTCTTCAGATCTTCTCCCTTCCTTTCCTTAAATGCCCCTGCTTTCTCCTTTCATGCAAATGAGATCTGCACTCATTGGTTCTGCTAGACTATTTTATTCCCTAAAAGCATTATGGGGTTTTCTAGTTAAGTCAATGAACACCAGGTGCCAGATTTGGGATCAATGTCTGTGGAGATTCCCATTCACCCAGGTCATAATTGTCTCAAAGATCTTTTCCTAAAGGTATCTGGATTGTTTTTTTCCCTGAGGAAGAAGAAGACGTCCTTCATAAGCAATCCCCATATTTGGTTTTCTTCGTTTTTGGAACAAGCCATTGGAAGCAGAGATTGTGGGCTTAAACCATTTCCTTTTATCCTGCATATTTCACCTGTTCTGTGAGGACCAGTGCCCTCCTCCCTCCCTTACTCTGGGGGAAGAGAGGAGACATTTCAGGAGCCATATCTGCCCACCCTTTTGTTTAAGTCATGAAAGGGCAGCAGCCGCCCCTGTTGGTCACTGATATTGTAGCAACTGGGCATTGAGCTGGGCACGGAGAGTCTTCTCTGCAGATGCAGATGAACCTACAGACATTTCTCTCTGGTCTGTTCAGCTCAAGCGTCCCCAGTCACAGATCAAGGTACGTTGCATGTGGTTTCAGTGTGAAGAGGAAGAGTGAAGGTTTTTGCCACACTTCCCCATAAAAGTTCACCACCGTGCAACTGGGTAACTGCTGTGTTCCAGATACCACAGTAATAATCTGCCTCATCTTCAGCCTGAGCATTGGTGATGGCCAAGGATCCTGTACTCCCAGATCTGGTGGCCGTGAAACGATCTGGGATCCCTTCTCCCCTGCTGCAGCCATCACAGTGGACAAAACGTGGGCTTCCTGCTTTCTGTTGATACCAGTAGATGCTGCGGGAACTCTGAGTAGTTGAGCAGGAGATCGTAATGGATCCACCCAGGGAAACGGAGCTGGAAGGAGGCTGAGTCCAAGGGGACTCGCCATGAATGCCTTTCAAGAGGGTGGGATGAAGAGAAAGAGAGGAGAGAGACAGAAAGAAAGACTGTTAAACTGATGCACCATCCTTTGCTCTTAGACATTTCCAAGGGACCAAGTTCTTATGAGAATCACAATCAAATACTCTCTCGGCCCAGGAAAGCTTTACCTGTGCAGTAAGTGAGGAGTGCAAGGAAGAACACAGCCCAACCCATGGTCAACTTTGGCAAGGAATGTCCTTCTAGGGAAGAAAACTATAACCTTCTTCAAATCTTCTCCCTTCCTTTCTTAAATGCCCCTGCTTTCTCCTTTCATGCAAATGAGATCTGCACTCATTGTTCTGCTAGACTATTTTATTCCCTAAAAGCATTATGGGGTTTTCTAGTTAAGTCAATGAACACCAGATTTGGGACCAATGTCTGTGGAGATTTCCATTCACCCAGGTCATATTCGTCTCAAAGATCTTTTCCTAAAGGTAACTAGATTGTTTTTTTCCCTGAGGAAGATGAAGACATCATTCATAAGCAATCTCCATATCCGGTTTTCTTTGTTTTTGGAACAAGCCACTGGAAGCACAGATTGTGGGCTTAAACCATTTCCTTTTATCCTGCATATTTCACCTGTTCTGTGAGGATCAGTGCCCTTACTCTGGAGGAAGAGATGGGACTTTGCAGGAGCCATATCTGCTCACCCTTTTGTTTAAGTCATTTTTGGAAGAACCATGAAAGGGCAGCAGCCGCCCCTGTTGGTCACTGATATTGTAGCAACTGGGCATTGAGCTGGGCACGGAGAGACTTCTTTGCAGAGGGAGATGAGCCTACAGACATTTCTCTCTGGTCTGTTCAGGTCAAGGGTCCCCAGTCATAGATCAAGGTACGTTGCATGTGGTTTCAGTGTGAAGAGGAAGAGTGAAGGTTTTTGCCACACTTCCCCATAAGATTTCACCACCGTGCAACTGGGTAACTGCTGTGTTCCAGCTACCACAGTAATAATCTGCCTCATCTTCAGCCTGAGCATTGGTGATGGCCAAGGATCCTGTACTCCCAGATCTGGTGGCCGTGAAACGATCTGGGATCCCTTCTCCCCTGCTGCAGCCATCACAGTGGACAAAACGAGGGCTTCCTGCTTTCTGTTGATACCAGTTGATGCTGTGGGAACTCTGAGTAGTTGAGCAGGAGATCGTAATGGATCCACCCAGGGAAACGGAGCTGGAAGGAGGCTGAGTCCAAGGGGACTCGCCATGAATGCCTTTCAAGAGGGTGGGATGAAGAGAAAGAGAGGAGAGAGACAGAAAGAAAGTGTTAAACTGATGCACCATCCTTTGCTCTTAGACTTTTCCAAGGGACCAAGTTCTTATGAGAATCACAATCAAGTCCTCTCTCAGCCCAGGAAAGCTTTACCTGTGGAGTAAGTGAGGAGCGCAAGGAAGACCACCGCCCAACCCATGGTCAACTTTGGCAAGGAATGTCCTTCTAGGGAAGAAAAATATAACCCTCTTCTTCTTCTTTCCTTTCCTTAAATGCCTCTGCTTGGCCAGTTCATGCAAATGAGACCTGCACTCATTGGTTCCGCTACTAGACTATTTTATTCCCCAAAAGCATTATGAGGTTTTCCTAGTTATGTCAATGAATAGCAGAGATTCTGCACATGCTCAATTTGGAACCAGGGAGGAGTAAATGTTTGTGGAGAGTCATCCAGTTGATAGCTGTCTCAAAGGTGCTTTTTCAAAAGGCAACTGGACTATTTTCCCCTGAGGAAAAGAAGCTTCATTGATTCATCGGTCCAGCTGCCTTTTGTAAAAGCACCTCTGAGATAGGGAGGTGATGGAATTAAAAGGACCCCAATTAAAAATCAATCTGTTTCCCCAAAATCAATGCTGTTTTGGGGAAACAGAGAAACTTCTGAATAGCTAGTTTATCCCTGAATTTGACATGGAAACGATACGTGGAATTGTATACCTCGAGGTATTCTCAAAAGCATATAAAATCTAAAATGCAGTGCAGTAGAATCAAGAGCGTGGTGTTATTTTTTCCAAAAAAGCACAAAAGAAAAACCGAAGGGACACTGTGCAAAATGAAGCAGAAAATTCTGATCTCCAAATAACTATAAAGAAATCCTATCCACTTTTCCTCCTCAGCCACAGAGAATCTATGCTTTTAACACAATGCTAAACTATCTTACCTTTTGGAAATAGTCAGCCCTGAAAGCAACTCGTAGTGCTGGTTTCATCCCTGTCTAAATCACCTTTCTTCTGAACCAGGTAGATTCTGCTAGACCAGGGGTAGGCAACCTTGGCTCTTTTATGACTCGTGGACTTCAACTCCCAGAATTCCTAAGCCAGCATGACTCAGCTTGGAAACCTCTCTGTTTCCCCTCAGCGTGGCTTCCTCAGGAATTCTGGGAGTTGAAGTCCACAAGTCATTAAAGAGCCAAGTTGCCTAGCCCTGTGCTAGAGAAATGACCTTGATTGGCAAATGGAGCAGAATCTGCCAATATTGCTATTTCTTGTATTCACACAGCTCAAGGAAAAATGGTTTGTTCCAATCCTCTGAAGATGGAGGAGAAAGAATGTTCTCGCTGTGTCCCCAGTGATTTGGACCAAGTGAAATATGTCACCAAATCTCATATGCCTCATCTTCAGCCTGCATGTTGGTGATGTTCAAATGATCCAGGATTCCATAATGGAAACCCACAAAATGATCTAGGATTCCTTCTCTTCTGCTATTACCACCATTTTCCACCGATTGTGAAGCTTGTTCATATCTTGGTTGACATCAGGAAGTGGCCTTTGAACTTCCTCCATGTTTAAGGAAGGCTGAGATGCCTTCTGGTTTTTGTCACAGTTCCCCATAAAGTGGAATCACTGTGCTCTGAGAATTGCTATCGTAAGACAAACAGTAATAGTCAGCCTCGTCCTCTGATTGAATGCTGGAGGTGGACATGATGGCCGAATTGGAGGAAGAGTCAACAGATCCAGAAAACCACTCAGGGATTCCAGAAGGTCTGCTACTATGATTATAGATCACTAGTTGAGGTTTTGTGCCAGGTTTCTGCTGATACCAGCTCACATAGTGGCTAGAAATGCTGCCACCTTCCTTGGTACAGGTGAGCTGGACTGTTTGTCCATGGGAGGCCAACACAGAAGGTGGCTGAGTCATGGTGAACTGGGCCAAGCCATCTGCAGGGGGAAGGAAAGGGATAAAATGCAACTGAGATGCAGTCAGAGGGAAATGCATTGACTCAACTGGAAAAAGAAGGAAAAAAGGGGGCAAGGAGAAAGGAACAATTCCAGAAATGTAGAAAGGAAGAGAAGAATGAAGAGGAGAAGAAGAAGCTTGATCTTGGCAGTCAACGGGATGCTTTACCAGTGAAGTAGGTGAGGAGGAAGAGGAGGAAGAGAAATGGCTGGGTCATGGCGGAGAAATGGGCAAGAACTGTTCTTCTGAAACCAAGTTCCTTCTAGGTGGACCCCTTCTCCTCACGCTTGAGTTGAGCTGCCAGAAATAGAGCCTGCAAAGGCATGCAAATGCCCTTCCTGTGTCTTGCTTTTAAAGCCTCTAGATCTATTTCCAGAACAAAGCCAAGAGGTGATTGGCAGGAGATTTCATTTGGTGAGTCTCCTCTGAGGGGAAAGATAGAGAGTCCAACTCCACCTGTCTTCCCGTATCATCCAGAACCAATCTGCCTTCCAGATTCTAACATTTCAGTGTGCTGGAACCTAAGCAAACGATTTGATGGACAGGTGGACCATTGGAAAGAGGTGGTCCCTCCAGTAAGCTGCCCCCATGCAATGAAAGCTTCATCAGGACCATCCGGACCTTGAGTTGCATCCAGAAGCACATTGGGAGCAAATGCAACTCAGGAAACAAAGCTATAGCTTGATTAACAGACAACTTTTCAATTTATTTATTTATTTATTTATGAGACTTATATACCGCTTTAAGTGCAAGCACTCTCTAAGCGGTGTACACCAGTAAGCAATGTATGTGTGTGTGTATATATATATATATATATATATATATATATATATATATATATATATATTTACATTGCCCCCCACAATCTGGGTCCTCATTTTACCTACCTCGGAAGGATGGAAGGCTGAGTCAACCTTGAGCCGGTGAGATTTGAACCGCTGACCTGCTGAACACAGTCAACTAAAGTGGCCTGCAGTACTGCACTCTAACTGCTGCGCCACCTTACTTTCAGCTTGTAAATTCTCTTCAAGGGCAGCCCCTTTGACAGCATGTTGCAGTAGTGCATTCAGAAGGTGATCCAAACCTTTGTGACCATAAGAACCACATCTGATCTGGGAAGGGACACAACTGGTACACAACCCAGAGTGGTGCAAAAATCCTTCTGGTGTTGACTGTTTAGCTGCTCCTCAAACAGGAGCCACCATTTCAGGAATGTTGCCTGTAATAGATGGTTGACCTTGAGGAAAGACAGGAAGAGATGCTGCCCGGGAAACAATTAGATAAAGGGAGCAGGAGCCCAGAATCGCTTAAGGTCCATTTGGAAGAATTTTAGGAAAGACCCTCCTTAAGGTTCCTAGCAATTGAAGTTCCTAGCAGTGGGAAGTTTCTACTTTCAGACTTGCAAAAGTTATGTTAATATAGCCTTACAACGAAGTAGATTTAGTTCATCTTGAGTTGGAGGGCTGACTTCCCCTGAATGCACACTGGCTCTGTGGGACATTGCACAATCTCATTCTGGATCAAGCATGGAAAATCACAACATCAAGAAGGTCCCCAAACCCAAACATGCTCAATTGCCAGGACAGAGTTGAACTTCATTCTATCCCAGTGGTTCTCAACCTGTGGGTCGCAACCCCATTTGGGGTCGAATGACGATTTCACGGTGGTCGCCAAACAACGCAGTCCGCCATTTTTTCCCCTTTTCCTTAGCTGTGCTACTCCCTTTTATTCTATTGGCTTTTGAAAGCCAATAGAATAGACTCTCTTGAATAGAGTCTAATTCTATTGGCTTTCAAAAGCCAATAGGAATTGTCCAGGCTGTCTCTGCCCTGCTGAGCCTGCCAAAAGTCCCATTCTGCAAAGTTGTCTGCAGCGAAGGCGAGCTGTCTGGAAGTTTCCCCCCCTCACTGCTGAGCAACTACTAAAAATGTAAGAAAAAGATGGCCTGGGGTGGGAAGTGGGAGGCCGGTGGGTGCATGGAGGGTTGCTGGCATGCGTGGGGCCCAGTGGGTGCCTTACCTCCCTTGGGCTGGGCCAGCTGGTGGCCCAGCCGTTGGTTGGCCTGCGCCATCTCTGCTACTTGCTAGCTACACCTCGGCCAGTGCAGGGGGTGGCACCACACATGCGTGGTGCTCCTGGGCAGGGAAAGTCCTCGACTTACGACCGGTTGGGTAGTCCTCAACTTATGACCGGTTGGGTAGTCCTTGACTTAGGACCGGTTGGGGTCGCGGCATTAAAAAGGTTGAGAACCACTGTTCTATCCCATTCATCCCTACAGTTTCCAGACATTGAGGCAGAACCTTAATAACCAACTGATGACTTGAATGGGGTCTTCAGACCCTTGTCCAGCATAGAAATGTGAAGCCCAATGCAGAAATAGGACATTTCTCAATATCCTAAGAGAAATGTTGGAAAAGGAAGCACCAAGATCTGGTAGAGAATTAATTCACCCCCCCCCCAAAGGAAAGAGAGAAAGGGGAACTGTAAGGCAATGAAAGGGTGGATCAAACACCAAGCCACCACAATCACAAAAACACACAAGGAAATTCCACTTCTCCAAGACCGGTTCAATTTTTTTTGACAGCACGACATCAAGCCTATTATGTTTATGTTTTACTAAAAATCAGCATGCGTAGCCACCTGCCCCAGTGAGAAGTGAAACTTCAGAGAAGGGTTAAGACCCTTTCTTAGCTCTTTGTCATTTTCTCCCCCCTGGGGGGGGGAATCATTGTGCTTTGGGCACCCCTGTCAGGAGGGGAACTGCAATAATCAGCCCCATGTTCTGTACTAGAGATGGACAAGTGGCCAACGTGCACAAAGAGTCAGTAGAATCAGAAAAATGACCCAGGGATTCCAGGAGAAAAACATACCTTTGCAAATTAAAGGGATGTTTCCCAGTGAAAGATTGTATCTGGGGAGTAAGAAGGCAAAGAGAAGCTGAGACGCCATCAGAGAGAAATGCAATTAACCCAGGTGACGAAAGGAGAAAGGAGGAGAGGAGAGCTCCAGATTGCCACAAAACTAGAAAAAGTTTTCCTAGGAGGAGAAAATAAACGTGAGCTCCTTGTATGGAGAGACATCTTACCACTGAAGTAGGGGGGGGGGTAAGAACACAAGGAGAAACATTTGGGCCATGGCAGAGAAGTGGGCAACAATTAAGCTTGTGAAAGCAACATTCCAGTTGCCCCTTTTTTCTACTTTTAAATTACTTTGCAAGAAGGGGTGTTGTAAAGTAATGCAAATATTTCCCATGTCTATTTGTTTCTTAAGGCCCGTCTTCATTCATTCCCTCGACAAGTAAAAAAAGGGGGTCTCGTGGTTATGACCCCCCCCATGGAGTGCAGTGAGGGGGTTGAAATCTGTCACCTGCTCCCCCCGATTCAGTAAAGGGACCTGGCTTCGAGGTTAGTGTGTGGTGTGCTAAAAGCAAAAGGGTGGACTTCACCCAAAACACCCCTAACCCCTCCCCAACTTCAGTTCAGCGGTCATCTCCCTTAAGAGACCTGAGTTAGTGTGTTGAGTGTACACCTTCTATATAGGTAGTCCTTGATTTACGACCCCAGTTCTAACCACGGAATTACTGTTGCTAAGCAAGGAGGTTCTTAAAGGAGTCACATCCAATGTTGCGACCTTCACCATGGTTGTTAAGCAGAACCTGCAGTTATTAAGTGGCTCGTGCAGTTGTTAAGGGAATCTGGTTACCCCCGTTAACTTTCTTTGTTGGAAGCCAGCTGGGATGGTCGCAGATGGTTATCACACGACCCCAGGAGGATGCAACCATCGAAAATTCATGCTCTGGCTGTGTGCAATTCTTTTGACAGAACCAGTATGGAGCGAAGCATTCAAGGGAAGCTGAGACGCCTTCCGGTTTTTGTCGCAGTTCCCCATAAAGTGGAATCACTGTGCTCTGATAATTGCTATCATAAGACAAACAGTAATAGTCAGCCTCGTCCTCTGATTGAACGTTGGAGATGGACATGGTGGCCGAATTGGAGGAAGAGTCAACAGATCCAGAAAACCGCTCAGGGATTCCAGAAGGTCTGCTAGTGTCCTCATAGATCACTAGTTGAGGTTTCGTGCCAGGTTTCTGCTGATAACAGCTCACGTCGTAGCTAGAAATGCTGCCACCTTCCCTGGTACAGGTGATATGGACTGTTTGTCCACGGGAGGCTGACATAGAAGGTGGCTGAGTCATGGTGAACTGGGTCGAGGCACCTGCAGGGGAAAGGAAAGGGATAAAATGCAACTGAGATGCAGTCAGAGGGAAATGTTTTCATTCAGCTGAAAAAAGGAGAAAGGGGCAAGGAGAAGGGAACAATTCCAAAAATGTAGAAATGTTCCAAGGAAGAGAAGAAGCAACTTGATCTTTGCCAGTCAATGGGATGCTTTACCAGTGAAGTAGGTGAGGAGGAAGAGGAGGAAGAGAAACGGCTGGGTCATGGCGGAGAAATGGGCAAGAACTGTTCTTCTGAAACCAAGGTTCCTTCTAGGTGGACCCCTTCTCCTCATGCTTAAGTTGAGCTGCCAGAAATAGAGCCTGCAAAGGCATGCAAATGCCCTTCCTGTGTCTTGCTTTTAAAGCCTCTAGATCTATTTCCAGAACAAAACCAAGAGGTGATTGGCAGAAGATTTCATTGGTGAGTCTCCTCTGAAGGAGAAAGGGAAAGGGTAGAGACCCCCATTCCACCTCTCTTCCCAAAGCATCCAGAATGGATCTGCCTTTAGGATGCCCACATTATCAGCATGTTGGAACCTAAGCAAAAGATCTGATGGACAGGTAGACCATTGGAAAGAGGTTGTCCCTGCAGTAAGCTGCTCCCCATGTCATGAAAGCTTTAGAAGGACCACTAGAACCTTAAATGGCACCAGAAATATATTGGGAGCAAGTGCATCTCAGAAAACCAAGGTGTAACCTAGATGAACAGACACCCTTTCAACTATTTTCAGCTTATGGATAGTTTTTAAGGACAACCCCATTGACTGCCAATGACAGATGAACCTCTTCAAAGAACTTCAAGGCATTATTTACCTTAAAGAATCTTTATTCGAAAAGCATAACATCAACACTAACATAATCGGCCAAAAACTGATTCCCCCCCCCCTTGAGCACATAGTATCAAAGCACAATTCCCTCCTCCAATTAACTGTCATAAATCACATTCCCTAATTAGTTTAAAGCGTGGGCTTTCCCTTTAACTCCCCAGCCGCCAATTCTTATCTTTTCTTATTTCAACAACCTTGATTCTCACGCTAGGTTCAGTGTTATTATGTCTTAGCAGGGTCTCCTGCTTGAGCAGGGGTTGGACTAGAAGACCTCCAGGCTCCCTTTCAGCTCTATTCTAATTGAGACTGAGGCTTGCAAGATTCTGTCATTTTAGCCTTGTAATAAAGAAGATTTAGTTCATCTTGTCTGGTTTACCTGATCCTTGCTTCATTTTTTTCCCCCATAGCTGGTTCAACTCACTTTCTATATCAAGACACTATTTTTTTTAAACTGGAAATTGTTCTGTGTGGTCACTCCTATGCTCAGCCCCCTGCAATAAATGAGGCCAGGCTTGTCAGCAATGACAAGAAAGATTTTGCCACAGTTCTCCATTAAGTAGGATCAATGTGCTCAATTCTCTGCCTTCATGAGATGAAGATGGTGATTGCCAGACTTAGTTTCTGCTTGAACATTGAAGATAGTCCTCTATGGAGATCCTCAGTCTTCCAGGTCATGGTTGTCCCAAAGGTGCTTTTTTCAGGACTGGACTTTCTTGTTTTTCTTTGAAGACATTTTGCTTCTCATCCAAGAAGCTTCTTCAGCTGGTCATTTGCCTTCTTTGAGAGAGTTGTTGGGACCATTTAGAGGTTCAGGGTCATCTGAGTGGTGCAAAGTTGTGTGGAACCTCCAAATGGCCTCAATGACTCTCTAAAAGAAGGCAAATGACCAGCAGTCTGCAAGGACTACAAATCCTTCCATCCCTCACCATCCAGTCAGTGGGTTTATTCCTGTCCACTTGGTTCCTTTGGGTGGTGGGGGTAGGGTTTTCTGTTTCAGTTCTGCATCTGAAGGCAACAGTGTGTAACCCGTTGTTGTGCCACACAGCACAATAATAATCCCCTTCATCCCCCTCCTCAACACTCGAAATGGTCAGCTTGGCAGTGTTGCCGTAGGTGTCTGCGGAGAAACGCTCAGGAATCCCAGAGGCTCTTTCCCTGGACCTGTAGATGAGCAGCCTTGGAGACTGTCCTTCTTTCAGATGATACCAGGATGGGTTAGTGGGGCTGATAAACTCCACGCCTTGCAGAGTACAAGTTATGATGGTTGTCCCTGCAATGCCCACTGAAATGGGATCACTTTGAGTCACCTGAGCCTGGGAGAAGGCACCTGCAAAGAATGAGAATGAGAATGAGAAGAAGGAGGAGGAGGAGGAGGAGGAGGAGGAGGAGGAGGAGGAGGAGGAGAAGAAGAAGAAGAAGAAGAAGAGGAAGAAGAGGAAGAAGAAGAAGAAGAAGAAGAAGAAGAAGAAGAAGAAGAAGAAGAAGAAGAAGAAGAAGAAGAAGAAGAAGAAAAGTTGAAGAGGAAGAGGAAGAGAGGAAGAAGAAGAAGAAGGAGAAGGAGAAGGAGAAGGAGAAGAGGAGGAGAAGGAGAAGAGGAGGAGGAGGAGGAGGAGGAGAAGAGGAGGAGGAGGAGGAGGAAGAAGAAGAAGAAGAAGAAGAAGAAGAAGAAGAAGAAAAGTTGAAGAAGAAGAAGAAGAAGAAGAAGAAGAAGAAGAAGAAGAAGAAGAAGAAGAAGAAAGAAAGAAAGAACAACAACAACAAAGGAGGAGGAGGAGGAGGAGGAGGAGGAGGAGGAGGAGGAGGAGGAGGAGGAGGAGGAGGAGGAGGAGGAGAAAGAGATGTACAAGAAGACAAAGAAGAGGAAATAATAAGAAGTACATAGGTAAGGCTTCTCCTTGTATTTTCCCAGTCATGACTGTGTGAAGTAGATTGGGCTAAGAGGGAATGACTGGTCCACTTAGCTGGACCAGACCAAAAGATATCCCAGTTTCTAATCCAGCACCTTCATCACAATGTCACACTGGTTCTCCAACACTGCTTTGGAAAACTGAGGAAAAATTCCTGGCTAAAACCATGTCACAAACAACATTGGTTTTTTTAATGTACCCCTACAACTTCAAGCCTTCCCACACTCACCAAAGCAAGAAAGTAAGACAGCGAGGACTCCATAGCAAGTCAACGCCATAGTGATGAACTGAGATCAGGGAAGCTTAGCCAAGTTCTCCCATTCTTCTCATTTAAAGTCTTGTGAGGGCCAGAAAAGATGTCCTCTATGCAAATCTGCACTTCCTTCCTGAAGTGGAATGTTTATGCATCAAATAATTTTGCTCAAAGGCTTTACATTTTTATGGCTTTTGGCTTTTGAAGCCAGCAACAGTGAAAGAAATAGTTTTAGAAATGGATCTTCTGAGTATAGGTCTACTCTGATGGATCCTGAATTGTCTTCCTCACAAGAAGGCCCTCTTCTCATTTCATGCCTCCTTTAAAAGGGACAACCCTTTCCTCAGGGTCACCCGAGTAGTGCAAATGTGTGTGTGGGCCTTCTTGGCTTCAACAACTCTCTGAAAGAAGGCAAATAACCAGCTCTCTGCAAGGAATATACTGTAAATCATTCTCTTCTCCACCATTGGAGCTGAAGATTTCCAAATGCAATCGAAATGCATTTAACTGTTTTGTTTTTAGTTGACCCCTTAGAGATACATCTGCTGTTTTTTGCTCTTCCCTGTCCTTGTTAGCAAAACTGGCTTTCAATTTCAACTGTACACCTGCCTGCATTCTAAAGGAACAGGCTCTTGGCAAGTAAATTTAACAAATAAATGTAAACAATAAAAAAAGATAATATCGGGTATTCATCCCTTTTGTCACTAGCTAGAGTTTGAGGACGTTGTAAACTTTCTTTTATTATTGCACAGATCTCTGGAGGAATATTTGGGAAACCCAAAGAGGATTTTTTAATAAAATTGTATGCAAACAACTGAAAAGTCATCTCTGATTTCCCTAATTAGCATTTAATAATCTCCCCATTGGCCCAACTGCAGGATATAAATACCTTCCCCTTGAGGTCCATTTGCTCTGGAAATGATATATTCCTGGATCTTTTTTTTAATGCTACTAAAAAATGTAGCTAGTGTTTTTTCTCTAATCAAACAAGTTTGTTTATCCATCTCAGCAAGATCTGTCCCCCACTATTCCTTGAAGGCTTCCATCTCTGTGCATATAAAAATCTCGATGCAGTAATCATGTATTGAAAAAAATCTTCCATGGCTTTTTTCTAACATTATCAATCCTAAAAGGGAAAGTTCTGGCTTCAGTTGACTATTGATACCAATCCTGTTGAGGTCCTCCATGCTGCTAATATAACAGACAGCCAAAGGTCCACTTAAAGTGTTATATGTTGTATTTTACATCTTACACTGTATGTTATAGTTCCATGGTATTCAGCAGATACCACCCACCCCACCAGGAAGAGTAATAGTAATAGTAGTAAAGTTGGAAGGGACATTGGAGGTCATCTAGTCCAACCCCCTGCTCAGGCAGGAAACCCTACATCATTTCGGACAAATGGCTGTCCAGTCTCTTCTTAAAAACTTCCAGTGTTGGAACATTTACTGCTTCTGGAGGACAGTGGATTCATTTCTGCCAGTTGATGTAGATCTTTCCAAAGCTTAGGAATCTAGTTCTGGACCTAGCAAGGATCCTCTGAAGAGCCAGAATCTGGTTTTTGATCTTAGAGCTCCTCCTGATGGCAAAGCTTTTGAATCACTATCTTGGCTTGAGTTGGGTTGAGGCTCTTCAGCTTGAATGAATCAAACAGACTTTCAGATCAACAAAGGATTTCCTCTCTTGGGAGATGCAGCAAAAAATATCTGTGGTTTCCGGAGTCTAAATGGCAGTTCACCACAAGTAAGAAGTATGGTGAGATAGACGCAACCTTCACACACAAATAGTTTCCTGTTGCCTGAAGTTGGTCGAGATACTTGCCGATATCTTGGTTTGCGTACATGCTCACATTGAAAGTGATCACATGACTTTCTCTTTCATGTGCCTGTCCCTGGAGATCAGTAGGCTGGACCAACTGATCACTTAACCCAGCCCTCTGCATTTCTACAGGAACCATGTCCTAGTTTGAACCCAAGCCAAGAATTCCACAGGAAGAACATTGAATCTAACATACATCCACAGATGAAAGAGGAGGATTCGTCATGCAAATGTGTTGTCCAAGCTCACATGTGAATTCCAAATTCTTCCAAATTAATTCCATCGTGGATCAGAGCTGGAGAACATCTTCAGACCTTAAGTTGAATCCATCAGCCAGCTGGCTGTCTCTTACCAGCTGTTGTAGATGAATTCCCCAAGGAGTAGGGGTAGGGTTTTATTCTCTTTGCTCCTTAATGTGTTAACACAGTGGTATTCTGACCCTGTTGAAGCTAGGCAGTAATACGTGCCTTCATCAGCTGCTTGGACTTCAGAAATGGTTAGATAACAGGCATTAAGGCTGGCATCTTTGGAAGCAGCAAATCTCTCTGAGACACCAGTTTTTCTTCTTTGATTGGATCCATCTTTATAATACAAAAGATATTTGGGAGGGCTTGGCTGTTGATGCTGAAACCAACTTATGGTGTAAGTTGCCATAGTGCCATTGGAAAGGGTGCAAGAGATCTGAATGGAACTTCCTAGGGATGCTGACATGGAGACAGGCTGGAGGAATGAGATTGCTGCATCTCCTGTGGTTAGAAGACACAAGGACACCGCATAGATTAGGATAGGACGTTCCTTTCTGCAGGTTCTTGAGATGATGCTATGGACCAGGAGTCCTGGAATCCATCCTTTGTAACTTGGTTGGACCAAATACAGCAAGTTGCCCTTTGGTCTTTTTGAGACCAAAGCTAGCCTGTTTCTTGGACCAGCTCCCTCAATTTTCTCCAAACGGCCACTCCAAACTCTTCTGTGACATCTATTTTGAGTCCCTCACTTTTCCTAGCTGACATTTGGATCATCGCCAGATATTTTATGATTACATCTCAGTCGAGCCCAGATGGCAGAAATAATGTTACTAGCTGCTCTTGTTGAAGAACAGAAGTGACCTTGGAGATGGTCTGCAAAAACCCAACCATGCTTGAAGCCCTAGAAACATGGAAAATGTTAAGATGCTCAAATTTGGTTCAGACTAACATCCCAGCAAGACAAAACTGTCAGTCTTTCAAGATTTTGTCAACCTCTATCAACAAAGTGGAGTTTGTCAAACTCGTGGATTCTCTGTTCTCATCTGGCTTGCTTTGAAGGACAGACAGGTCCCTTTGCCTCTCCCCACCATGTTTTTATTCTCTTTTCCGTCCTTCCCGTAGCTTGTTTCTTCTTTATGCTGCAAGCCCCTTACCAGGTATATTCTACCCAAACCACCCTCTGCACGAAGGGGTTCTGTCTGTCCGTCAATCCCTAATGGGACCAGCTGATCGTGGCTTAAACTCGGCCAGTTCCAAGAAGAATCCAAGGGCAATTAATTTAACCTGCATTCATCCCCCTCTCCCTTGTAGTACCACCCCACCATGGTAACCCACAGAAGCAATTTGCAGCCAAAGCTTGCTGTTTGGGCATAAAATATTACCCAAAGTCCTTGCTATCAGGAGCGTCAGAAGCAAGAATGAGGATGCTAGCAGGGTCATGTTAGAAATCAGGTTTGCAAAGTTGACGATCTCTAATTTTTTAAAAAAAACAAAAACAAAAACCTTTGGCATCTTATCTCTGATGAAAATGTTGATTTGTTGGCAATGGTAGAGAACATTGAAAATACAACTAATTATAGACCAGACATCCCACCCACCCCCCAAAAAGTATGCAAATGAATTCCTCCCCCTGGGGTATTTGCATATAACTTCCTCAGCGGTATCCTATAGCCTGCCTGTGTCAGTTCATGACAGCCTGTTGTTAATTTTTTTGGGAATTTTGCTAGCCAGCCAAAAGTATGGATGCCCCCCCCCTGCAGCTGTAGCATACATCAGCTGTTTGGTAGCTGGCAATGAAGCACAGTGGGTAGAGTCTCTTGCTAAAGGTTTACCAGCACATCCCTGATGATGATAAAGGTAGTTGAATTACAACTGTAAGGGAACTTTTCCTTTCTTTCTTTCCTTTCTTTCCTTTTTTTTTCTTTCCATTTCTTTTTCCTTCTTTCATTCCTATTTTTCTTTTCTTTCCTTCTATTTCTTCTCTCTCTCTCTCTCTCTCTCTCTCTCTCTCTCTCTCTCACACACACACACACACACACACACACACACACACAAAAGCTTGGTATTCAGAAGCAGCTATAAAGATGGAATGCTGACCAGTCCCCATAAAAATGTTTTATAAAAAACAAAGTGATGCAGGCTACTTCTGCAAATGAAAGCCTTCAAATGTTTGCATTTAGAAGGAGGCAAAAACAGATTGTGCAGCCACCAAGAAATAGGAGGACCTTTCTGTTCTCTGAAATAGCCAAATGACCACTCACGAACCAGGTTTTGCACAAACCTCAATTTGGAGAATGAAGGGACACCCATTGTGTTGAGTTAAGATATCATTTTTCAAGGTTGCATCATCCTTGATGGACTGTGAGCGTTAATCTCCAAGGTCCAGGTCAGCACTGGCAGACTTAGCCTGACACTAAAGACTTTGCATGCTTTGTATAAACAAGCTAAGATCTAAATTAAGACCATTAAGGGTCATACAGTTAAGCTGAATATCTCTCTGCCTTTCCCTGTCACCTTCCACATCTGAAGTCCACCATTTACCAACTGTTTGCTCCTCTAAGTCCTATCAACAATGACCATTTTTTTCCACAATGGAAAATATATGTACTGGAGAAGCTGAGAACCTCCAACTCATGGGTACCATAGTGGACCACTCCTCTCTAAGTTCCGTTACTGCACACTCTTGGTTACTGAGTTGGTCAATCCCACCATCTTCAATTCCCTCTCTTGCAAAATTGGAAAAGGGGAATGCCAGGAAATGCTCTCAGCTGGATCCATGGCTCACTCTAAGCCATCATATGGCTTATTTATAGACAGTGCAGTGATTTGGACCTGAATTCACATAGCCCAACATGTCCACCAAAATCTTAGGAAACAGCTTTGTCCAAGCTAATGTCCTCCAGATGGTCTAAACCAGTGGTTCTCAACCTTTTTAATGCCGTGATCCCCAACCAGTCGTAAGTCGAGGACTACTCAACCGGTCGTAAGTCGAGGACTACTCAACTGGTGCAGCACCATTTGCAGAATGGGACTTTTGGTGGGCTCAGCAGGGCAGAGACAGCCTGGACAATTCCTATTGGCTTTTGAAAGCCAATAGAATTAGACTCTATTCAAGAGAGTCTATTCTATTGGCTTTCAAAAGCCAATAGAATAAAAGGGAGTAGCACCGCTAAGGAAAAGGGGGGGGAAATGGCGGACTGCGTTGTTTGGCGACCCCCGTGAAATGGCCGTTCGACCCCAAATGGGGTCCCGACCCACAGGTTGAGAACCACTGCTCTGAGTGATCTTCTCTAGCACTCTCCAGAGATCATTTACCCAATGGCAGACAACAGAAGCCAATTCCCTGGTATTGAAGCATCTCCCTCCAGCATTACTTTCTGGACTTGTCCTGACAGGAAGGATGACAACCATTATTGAAGATTATCTCCAGGGTTGTATCTGCTCCTCTGTGCATGGAGTCCTGGAAGAGGTCCAGAGGACAAATCATCACTCACAGTAATTATCACAATCCCAGACTTTGAGACGTCTACTGCTACTTTTCCAGTGACTGCTTTTGATAGTCTGAAGCAACATCAGAATGCAGGATCTTGCATCAGAAAAAGATAAAAAGCCTCTACTGATGCTGAATGGTTTGCCCAAGATTTAGGACAAAGGCAGGGACTGTCCTGCTGAATGTACCTTTCTCTCTTTTTCAGATGAAGCTTGGTTTGTTTCTGTTTGACTAAGGAAAGCCACTGGATATTCCATTTCCTGAGAGCGCTTTGAAATCATCTAACTCTTCTGTGGAAAGAGGTGATTGATTCAGCTCCATGAATTATGATCCTCCTGCTTCTGCTTGCGATGTTACTGGTGTCCCTGCCAGTCTCTGGGAAGCTTAGAATGAAGTGCCCGCTGAATTCGGTGCACCTGGATAGAGAAAGACCATGGAGCTACTACAGACCAGGAGACTATCTCCTTGGTATAGTCACCAGTGCAGTAACATTATCACAGAAAATATTGTTTTTCAACCTGCTTCCTTATAGTCAGTCTCACTTGTAAGTTATTCAGTCTGATGAAATTGCATTTCTTCTACCTGCAGTTCTAACACTCTCCTCCTTTTCTCCATATTCTGCTTACTCCTATATTTCAGGGTGTGACTGATCAGATTTCCATGGGTTTCTTCTTTTGTCTTATTCAGTGGAAAAGACAAAATGCAAAGATGCAGCAAAAAAAAAAAAAAAACAAACCAGAAAGAAGTCCACGTTATTTTCCTCTCCATATCCAATCTAGAATTCATGACTTGTTTAAAGTAGTGATTGTTGTAGTTAATTCTGACCAGCCCATTTCCATATTTTTATAACCATTAATAGAAATTCAGTGCCTGATCCTTACAGGAATAGATCAGTGGCTCTCAACCTGTGGGTCGGGATCCCATTTGGGGTCGAACGACCATTTCACGGGGGTCGCCAAACAACGCAGTCCGCCATATTTTTCCCCCCTTTTCCTTAGCTGTGCTACTCCCTTTTATTCTATTGGCTTTTGAAAGCCAATAGAACAGACTCTCTTGAATAGAGTCTAATTCTATTGGCTTTCAAAAGCCAATAGGAATTGTCCAGGCTGTCTCTGCCCTGCTGAGCCCGCCAAAAGTCCCATTCTGCAAACGGTGCTGCACCAGTTGAGTAGTCCTCGACTTACGATTGGTTGGGGGGTCGTGGCATTAAAAAGGTTGAGAACCACTGGAAGAGAGGATGATTTGTTTTTGGAACAGCTTTTCTGGGTCACTTATGAAATGCCCTCTTCCTTTTATGATGTTTGTACTTTAAATAAAGAATTATCTTGCAGACTGGATACTGTGCTGATGATAATTACTGCTGCCATAAATAATAGACAATTTGTGATTCTTATCTGTTTCCCAACATCTACAAATATTAACTGTTGATGGATGACTATCATTTGCCTCTGGTTTTTGATCAGTATTGGCTTCAGACTCAATAATCATGTGTTGACAAAGAGGTTGAACTGAAAAAAGGTATTTTATTAGTGCTGTTGATGATGCTTGTATCAACCAAAGCATTTTTTTTACACTAGTATACCTTATGCTCCCAAAGGAATAGAACGCTTTATTTTCACCATTCAAGTGATCAACAAGAATATCCAGCTCCTGTGCAATCTCACACTTGGCTACAATATCCATGACAACTATTTGAACACACTTGGCACTTCAGAAGTCTTGCTGGACATGCTCTCTACTGGAAAAGCCAATGTTCCCAACTACAGCTGTGGAAGGAAAGACAACATTTTGGCTCTTCTTGATGCAGCTGACAGGGACTTCTCCATCCTGATGTCAACATTAGTAGGCCCCTACAAAGTCCCACAGGTTTGTGTGATGCTTCTCTGTACACTAAAGACAAGATGTTCCAAAGGGTAGGAGCAATGGCAGACAACATTCTTCTCCTGGACCCAGCCAACCAGAATTCCCTGAATAATGCTGCCACAGATGGGGCTGTTCAGTTCCTTTGGGGTGAGATGGTTCCTCAAACTTTTGAGTTTGACTAATCAACCACAGTCAGTGTTTAGTCCTCAGTGGAATCACATCTACATGGAAGGAAGAATGCAGTGATTTTGTCTTATGCCCGGTATTCTTCCACATCTTCACAAATGATCTAGAGGAGGGGAAAGAAGGAGAACCCATCAAATCTGCTGATGATACCAAGCCGGAGGAAATTGCTAACACTTCGGAACAGGGGTCTTCAAACTTGGCCCTTTTATGACTTGTGGACTTCAACTCCCAGAATTCCTCAGCCAGCGTGCCTGGCTGAGGAATTCTGGGAGTTGAAGTCCACAAGTCATAAAAGAGCCACGATTGAAGATCCCTGCTTTGGAAGATGGACTCAAGATTCATAAGGATCTTGAGAGACTTAAGCAGTGGGCTCTATCCAATGAAATGCAATTCTCAGTGGTGAGAAAAGTAAGATTTTGTTCCTAGACAAGAAATACTAAATGCACAGTTATAAAATAGTGGATACCTGGCAACTGTGAGAGAAATCTAGATGTCCTACTGGACTATGGCTGCAGCTGGACCAGTATGTTGCAACTGTCAAAAAGGCCAATGCAGACCTAAGCTGCATCAATAGAGGGCTGGAGTCAAATTGATAAATGAGAATATTTGTAGCTCAATGTTGAAATGAGGGCTTCTTGTTGCTTTCTGAGTTTGTTTATTTTCTTACAGACATTTCATTACCCAATCTAGGTAAGGTCATCGGTGCTAATAAGGAGTGGGGTATGCTCTCAGTTTTATATTCTAATGACTTGCCCTGTAAGCGCTGGTGGGAATGGTCTTGTAGGGTTTTTTGGTTGGGCTGTTTCCTGCTAGTTTGTTTGGCAGTTCCTTGATTTGTTATTGGTATTAATTCTTGATTGATGGTCTAATGTTAATCAATAACAATTAACCAACATCATGTTAATCAACATCAATTAACATTATTAATTATTGGTGCAAAATGAAAACTATGGAAACTACAGGCTCCCAAAATTGTGTCTGTTAGAACA